ATAATAATTATTATATATATATATATATATATATATATATATATATATATATATGCTAATGCTGTTGTTAAATCCTTCAACAAATCTAATTATCTAAAGTCTTAATTATCATAATTATTTGGCCACTATTTGATACAAAGAGTTGAATTGTTGCTTGTTATTAGCATAATTGTATATCCCTACAATATGAACTATCAAACATTTTAGAACTAATTCGTTTGAGGGTAGTTTTACAACTATACGACCAAAATCATAATAATTATTTTAATTAATTATAAATTCCATCGGTATATTATCGCAATCAATAGTCTAGCATTATCTAAATTACTGTTATTTCCTTGTTAGAATATGAATATTTTAAGTTAAATTTATATTATCTGATGTTTAACTAAAGCCTTAACTACCATAATTATTTGATACAATGAATCAAAAGAGAAATTTGCATATTCTGTATATTTAAAGTATATATATATATATATATATATATGTATATATTAAAGATCTTTTTAGATATTCAAATTCCTTTTTTTAGAAGTTAGTAATTAATTAGAAAAGAAAATTTTGTGAAAAGATAAAAGAAATGTGAATGATAACATGCAATAAAACACACACACACACACCATGCAATAAAGAATTAAAGAATTTTAATTAGTTAAAAAATTTTTAAAATTCAAGCATTAATATGTTGTTAAACGAAGAGATAAAAAGAAAGGAAATTTACCGGTAATTGTTGAAGTGTTGCAGAAATGACAGGTAATGATTATTTTGACCTTTTTTTTTTCATCAATATATAGATAGGTATTATTTATTGGAATATAATTATTCTCGGGAGATAATGTTAATGTGTATATCAATGCGGGAGGATAAGAAAAAGAAAAAGAAAATGGTTTAGATTAGAAGGTCGAAGTTTAAAAATTTTTTGGAAGAATTACAAAATTAAAAAAAAACCTTTCGAGAAATTTTTTTTTTCCAAATTTTTTAAAGTTTGAAAAAATCACAGAAAAGATTCATTTGTAGAATCTAACTTCGATTGTCTTATTATCAGTATCAAAATTAGCAAAATCAAGGAATAATTTATCTCACTCATTGGCTATTTTGAATTCAAATTTTTAAAAAAAATTAAAAAATTCCTGAATGAAAAAAAAGGGGAAAAAAAGAAGAAATGATAAAATAATTTTGTCATAAAATGATTGATTTATGAAAGATTACAGAAACAAAACAGGTACATCAACAAATACAGACATTCTGATTGATATGCAATACTACTAGGCGTATTTATTCATTCTATGACATAAAACTAATCTGTATGTTCTTTGATAATTTCACATTTCAAAAAAAAAAAAAAAGTATACCGATTTTAATTAAGAAACAAGCAATTAATTGATTGATAACAATATTAAGCTATCTACTTAGATATGATGGCAATTTATAACAGAGATAATTCATTATGAAATGAATATAGTTAAGAATAATTAATAAGTTCACAAAATTTTCATTCCAATATAGAGTTTATTAGGACAAATGATTGATATTTAATTACTCACTTTCTTCGGATAATAAACATTTAGCTTCACAATCAGCAAGATGTAGGAAATTGTTGGTATTGCCTAAACATCCACCGTATTCGAAACGTTCACATCGACCGGTATCAGCATTGAAATAGTATCGTTTATGTTTTCCGGAACATGGCCCATTTACTTTTGGTAATTTGCATGGATCTATAAATTTTTTAAAAAATTTATACCATATACATTTTCGTTTCTTTTTTTCCTTTCAGTTTGTTATCTTTTCTTTCTTTTTCATGCAATACTTTAAAAGAGTAAATTTTTGGTTAATTTCAATATTCAAATAAAATTATTCAGAAAAAAATCATTACGGATTTCTTATGACGTAAAGAGAAAAGAAAAAGTCGAATTAAATGATAAATGATAACTGATATGATTAAAAATATTTTAGTCTTATCAGTTTTGTTCTTATCAGTGATACTATCATTTTTTTACATATTTTAAAATTCTTTAATTATATATCATTTGTTATTTTATTGAATTATATCTTTTTCTATTAGATATTGAAGAAAGAAATGAATTTAAAACTCACCAATAAAATTACCACATTCATTCTTGCATTGTTGTTCGTTATCAAAACGATTATCAGTACCACCGCAACCACCATAATGGAATCGTGTGCAAGTACCATCAAGTTTATTGTAATACCATTTTGTGACAAATCGATTACATGGACCAGTATCCTTTGGGAGTTCACATTTTGATACTGATTCAGGTTTCTGAGAAGCTATAAAGAAATAAGAATGAATAAACTGATTTTAGATATTCTAGATGAAAAGTTTGATTCTAGATTCAAGTGGAATAAATTTAGGTATTTGAGATGATAAGTTTGATTATTCAAATGGATAAGTAATTTCGTTTTTTTTTTTCTTCTCTCTCTCTCTCTGTTTAGAAATTATGATAAGAAAGGAAGAAAGAGATTATTTTTACCATCTGATATTGGTATAAGATGTTTGAATGTTTGATCTGATATAGAAGTTGGAAAAGTTCCAGATTTAACACCGGAAGCACGATGGACACATAATTCTTCACATTGCTCCTTGGTTTGAAAACGGTTAGCATTACCACCACATCCGGAATAACGGAATGATTCACAGGTACCTGTTGCACGTTCAAAGTAATAACTTGGAAATGCACCATTACAACGACCAATATCCATTCGTTCATTGCATGCATCACGAGATCGACCTGCATAAATTAGAAATTAAATCAATAAATTAATGATGAATCAGTTAATTAATTAATTAATATAATTTAACTTCTAAAATATCGTTTTTGTTGTTGCTCTTTTTTTTCCTCTGATCTCCCAAGACTTACCTACTATTGGAAGACCAAATGAGCCTGATTTAGGTAATGCGACAGGTATTAATTCATTTCGTTGCGCTGTTGTAAATGGTTGATTTCGGCCTACTGAAATTAATGTTCATTATTTATTATCATTATCAGAGAATTATTTCGCCTACTTATTTATACTAATCCTAAATTATTATTTCAATTTTAATTTTACAAAAAAATGAAATAATTTTCAATCTTTTTATTAAATGGCTAAAAATCATTTAAGCTTTTCAAATTCTAATTAGGATTATATGTCAAATACAAGAATTTATTTCTATTTACGATTTTATTCCTAACGCTATAAATTATTTTTTGCATAGTAATTTCTCAAAGTCTCAATCAATATTACATGATAATATATGATATCAATTAGTTATCATTTCGAATAAATAATTATTCAACAAAATTTTACGATTTCATTTATATATTAATATTGCTAATTATTAAATATTATCACATAGAAAGTAATAACATATTCATTTTTCTTTTCACAATAATAAATTAATTAAATTAAAATTAAAAAAAAAACAAGTGACAATTTACAATCTAGTGACAACAAGTGAACTTACAATTTCTTCTATCAGCACCAACATGTGAACATCGTGCTTCACATTCCTCTCGTGTTTTAAATCGATTCAAATTACCACCACATCCACCATAAATGAATAAATGACATCTACCAGAGAAGAAATCGTAATAGTACATATCTTCATAATTACCACATGGTCCACTATCAGCCGTTGATTGACATACTTCTTCAATTGTTACTATAAATCGATACTTTTATTTTTTATTTTTTTTTTAAATTACAATATCTGTATGTATAAACACACATATATAAAGATTATCTTATCTACTGTATTAAAAATTTACTTGATTTTTGCGATAACGATGATGGTTGTTGATATGATTGAGGTAATGGTACTTGAATTGGTTCCTGTGTTAAACCTAATTGTCGATCATTTGGAATAAATACTGGTAATGGTTGTTCATGAGTCATGGAAGTTTTACGTTCAATTGAAATAAACGTATCATCATCTTCGTTTGATTCTTGAGAACTACCAAAAGGTGTATATTCGTATGGTGACATACTTGTCATAATTTCATTAATTTCATTTGTCTAAAAATTTGAAAATCATTAAATATTCTTTTTTTTCTTTTATTTTCATATATATTAATGATTAATTTAAAATTATCATACTATATTATGTTAATATTATATACCTCTAATTGTGATAATTTTTCTCGTTGCTTTTCAAATGGACCAATATCAGCGCAAAAATTTTGACATTCTTCCCAACTTTCGAAATTATTATCATTACCCAAACAACCACGCCACCAAAATGCACCACATTGTTTGGTTGTATAATCATACCAATAACGAGCTGATAATTGATTGCATCGTAATGGTCCTTCTACCTTAGGTAGGAAACAACGACCTAAGAAAAAAGAATAGTAATCTGAAATGAATAAATTAATTGAATAATTTAATCTAGTTAATTAGTAGAAAAAAGAAAAATAATAATGAAAATATTTAAAAAAAATAAACCTATTCCTGGTGGTTTTACGCAAACCATTTCACATTGTTCTTTTGTTACAAAACGATTATCATTACCCTCACAACCACCATACCAAAATTGCTTACAGCGACCTTCTGCAGTATCATAGTACCACAATAATTTATAACCAGGATGACATATTGTACCTTGATCCTGTGACAATGAACATGAAACTGAAATTTTTATTTATAAATTTTAAAAAATTATTCATACCTACAAACAACATATATTATTTGCTTATTATTCAATTACTAATCATCACTCATTTTTATCAAATTTTAATCATTTTTTCTCATTTTATCAAACAAATTTTTGAAGATAACAAAAAAAGAAAAATCATGCAAATATTACTAATTTTCTCTGGCGCAATTGAACCACCTATAATATAGGGAGCTGGTGTAGTTGATGGACATCCAGCATATTGTGGCCCAATGGCTCGAATTTCACTAGCAGGACAACAACCATACCTTAATATGAATTATACTTTAAATGTTTTAGGATTATATTATCTGATAAAATGACATTAAAAAAAAAAAACAAACTTAGAGTATCGACAATCATCACATCCTTCATTCTTTGGTCCAATAGCACTTGTTTCACCATCTGGACAACATCCGTATTGAGTATATTGACATGGACAACCTGTAAGATGACCATAATGACCATAGTTATTTTCTCTTCTTATAAGTATTTCCAAAATTTTGAGATGATTCAGTTAAGTCAATGAATATTGTAAAAAACCTGAGTAAATAGAATTCAATGATCCAAAAAAAAAAAAACAAGCCCTCTTTGTTTGGTCCATGAGCTCTTGTTTTACCATCCGGACAGCAACCGTATTGACTTTGAGCACATGATACAGGACAACCGTAATTCTTAAGACCTTTCGCTGTTGTCTTACCATCCGGACAACAACCATATTGCGCATATTCGCAACCACATCCTGAAAAATTCTCTATTAAAATAAAACAAACATTTTTAGTCTTATTATTCTATTAGTTATAAATTTACAACTGATCAGGAAAAAAAATCCTCGTTATATCTGATAGATTTTTATAGCATTGATTAAAGTAAAGCTTTCATAATTTCATCTAAATATATTTTCTTTTTTAATTTCCGGTTTAATTTCCGGTATATATAGCGGTATAATGGATCGATTCATATTTACCTTCATTTTCCATTCCTTTTGCAGTTGTTTTACCATCTGGACAACAACCAAATTTGGTTGTTAAACAATTTTCACCACAACCGGTACCATTCTTTCCTAATGCAGCTGTTTCACCATCCGGACAACAACCATACATGGATAATTCACACGGAAATGATGATCGTTCACAACCTTCATATAAATTGATATAAATGATAGAAAAGATTAATTATAATAATAAAGAAATGATAAATAAAAAAATTATATTTCTTATTTAATAATCTTAATCTATTAAATGTAAAATGAATTTAATAAAAAAATTAATTTGAAATTAAATTAACCTGCATAATGCGGTCCAAAAGCAATCGTTTTACGATCTTTGCAACAACCGTATAATGATGCAGCACAGGTTGACTCACCACAACCTTCATAATTTAAGCCTCGAGCTAAAGTTACTTCATCCGGGCAACAACCAAATTTTGTTTCATTACATACACCTTTAATTAATTATCATTTATTATATATGCAAATATTAATTCCTTTTTATTTACCATCTCATTCCATCAATTATGCTAATTTTGTTAAGCAATTAGCCAGTTCACAGAATACATTTATGCCGATGCTAATCAATGAAAAAATAATAGTGTATAATTATTTGTAATTATTATGTCTAATTATGTAATTAAATGGATCAAATCAATATAAGGAATATATTAAGTTTATTATCATATCATTGTATTTACCGAGTATAAATTTAGGACAGCCTTCATTATTTTTCCCTTCAGCGATAGTTGTCCAATCTGGGCAACAACCAAATTCTGTTTTAGAGCAATGTTTCGTCTCATTATCATAGGTACCATTGGTAATTAAATCATCATCATTTAACAACATTTTTATGACTGTACTGATATTATCAGCAGTATCATTACCACAAGCAACCAATGCTTTCTCACCGGTTTCATTATTCATCACTTCACAAAGTTCTTCCTCACTGCAATACATTATTTATTATCAAAAGCTCTAATATACCACTTTCTTTCCTTTTTTTTTTTAGTGTGATAATAGAAGCTAATAACTTCGCATTGTTATATTCCGTTTTTCCGGACGGAATCTTACGTTAAATGGGTTCATTCTCAATTAAACTATATTTTTTGTAGTTTACTTTGGTATTAATTTCAGTTTTTGTATTCTTTTTTAATTTTCATTGAAATTATACAATTCAAATTTCAAATTCAATATCATTTTTGACTATCCGTTTTCCATTAACACATCAGATTGTGCTATATCAATTTTTTGTCCGGAATATTAAGCTGACAGGAAGAGGGGAAAAGAAAAAACCTGGATTTAACGGATTGTTCACTTTCCTCACCACTTCCTTCCATTTCAGCAACAAATTCAGCACATCCTTCTCCGGTAATACTTTGTGCTTCGGTTACATTATCCTTACAACAGCCAAACAGAGAAGTGGAACAATTTGAACATCCGGCTAAATACGGTCCACTTGCCATCGTTATATTATCCGGACAGCACCCAAATTCACTATCATCGCATGCTTAAAAATTATTACAATAAAAATATCAATTTACAATATATATTTATGTATCTGAATACTTTAAAATATGATTTTGGTATTAGCAAAACTATCCGGTTATACAATCTAACATATTCCGGTAATGGCATTGATCATATGAATGATAGCAATTACTCGGAGGGAATTAGTAGAGGAGAAGATTATGAGTAAAGTGAAAAGAAAAAAAAGAAGATAATTGTACTTGGACAAGGTTCTACGTTACATTCCTGTTCTTCTGATGGCTTTTCACTTTCATCGCACCATTCCGGAACAGGTTTTTTATCATAATTTAAGCAAACAATCATTCGATTTTGGATTCCACCGCCACATCTGAATTAATTGCTCTACAATCCTTATGATATAATAAACTTTTGTTTATTCCGGAAAATTATGCAAAAAAAGGAAACTCTTGTCCGGAAATTTCATTGATTAAAAAATGCATAAATTTTTATTTTTGAAAAAAAAAAACTGACTCAACTGAACATTTGCTCCATGGACCTGTATAGTAGGTCCCATTACATTTCTCTTCATTTGTACAATTTTTAATTGATTCTGGCTTATTCTCCCATTTACAATGTCCATCATCTACAACCTGTAACCAAGAGTTCAAAGGTGAAAAGTTTGCTTTTAAAGAAATTAAAATGAAAACTTAAAATAAGTATGATTATTTGATCAACATGGAACAAATTAATTGCGCTTAGTTTTCAATCCTTTTTTTTTTTTCATTTATTAAAAGAAAAATGGAAACTTACCGTAAGATCACCTAATTGATGAATAGCGCATACCACTCGTCGTGAATTATGTCCATGACCACATTCTGTACTACATTTTGACCATTCTGATGTATGCCATTCATAGTTACAAGGCTAAAAAAATTTATGTAAATTTTTTAATAAATAAAATCTTTAAAATTATTTAATATCCTATGAGAATATACCTGTGGTGATGAACATGGTCGTATATCTGTAGGAATTGTTGTTGAATTTTCATTTAAACATTTTTCCAATGGATATGCTCGACCATTAATATCTTCACATGTCACATTTCTACTTTCTTTCGTATCATTGCATTTTTTGCACTAAATGTATTATTATACTTTCTAATTAAAATATTAATTTTATTATTTCAACAAATTATATCACATTTTAAAATATTTCATATTATTGAAATTTTAATTAAGTTGAAATCAAATTAAAAAAAAAAGTGCCATTAAAACTATTTGAAATTGAAATTATTCGTAGTTTTATAATCAAAATAATTTGATGTACCATTTATAGGTTAGCTTTGGAATGATAATGATAATTTGTATTATCAATGTTAAATCATTTATAATCCAAAAATCTTTTTGATAACAATTCTCTGACTCCATCTTAATATTGTTTCGTTTTTTTGTTGGTAATAAGTAATCTTTCTTTAAGTTTACATGTTAATTAATTAAATTAATTGAGAAGAATAAGAAGAATCTGTTAACCAATTTCCAATCCGTAGTAACAAAATTAAGTCCTTCACAAGGACCCAAATTACAATTTCGTTCTGTTTCCATAGCTTCATCATTGCATGCTTCTGCAGGTAGCAATTTACCCTCTTCACCTTCTTTTGCACTTCGACATGTTACTGAACGATACTGGAATGCATCACCGCATTTTTCCGAACATGCACTCCACGGTCCTGCTTGCCATTCCGGGCACGAAAATCTAATATTTAAATTATTTCACCTGTTTCTTCTTTTTTTTTGCTTTGTTTTACTCTATTCTTTGCTTTTTTTTTTGTGATATTTTATCATTCTTTCCATTTCCATTTAATGCTTATATTGAAGGTATATGAAAGATATATTAGATAATGGCATGAAATGTAAAGCAAAGTTTGGTATTGTCAACTACCTATGTCAATTACCTATGATTTTTTTTTTTTACAAACTACCTGTTACATGGTCGTTGTACCAGTGGACGTTCCATGCTACAATTACCATCATCAATTGTCATCCTTTTACCGTCCAAGAATATCTGATGACAATAAACAACACGATACTGAGTACCACTTTGTCCACATGATACACTACATGGTTCCCATTCTCCTTCATACCATCTGCATTGATGTAATGTAAAATTGTAAAGGAAAAAAAAAAGTGAAATTATTCGAAGAAATTTTTTTTAAAAATATTTTTTATTAAATCAACAAATAGACTGATATTAATGATAAGCTAAAAAAATTTGAATTATTTAGGAGAACTGATAATTAAATGAAAAACTGATAATTAAATGATCATTATACTTAATCTATACTTATTATATCAATTAAGGATCTCAGTGTGTTTAATGAACTAAATAATTATAACCTAACTATTGTTATCATTTATCACTATCATTATCATTGCCAATGTTAACAATAACATCATTCTGGTAATATTACTCAAATCTCCATTCAATTTTGATATTTTACAAAAAAAAAAAAATTAATCAAGACAATATAACGCAAAAGAAAATTCTTACTGCGCATCACAATTAACTGTTTCGCAAACTTTCTCAGAAATAGGTTTGGTGACATTATATTCTTCACAAATGTCATCTGATACACGTTGTCCTGATGCACTTTCAATACAATATGGTATACGAGTTTGGATACCTATAAATATATTAATTGGATATTATCATTTAATCAATATTTGTTTGTTTGAGACCTTTTTTTTTTCTATCCCAAAGATAAATTAAGAAAATATTTTATTAAAAATAATCAAAATAAAACAAACATTTAACACCAACTTTCTTTTTTGCATCGCTTTATTTACAAAAAATAGTATCGATATAAAAGTAAAAATTAATACTTTGTAAATTACTTTAAATAGTATTTAAAAAATTTAAAAAAAATGATGAAAGAAATAAAAAAAATGTTTTACCTTTTCCACATGTAACCGAACATGGTGACCATTGGTCTGGTTTATAGAGATATGGAATCTCCTCCTCTAATGGTACCGAAAATTCATATTTAATAGCACCATCCTGGAAATATTTTAAAATTATAGAATTAATTTTATGCATAACAAAATATGATTAAAATGATTATTAATAATGAATATCAATAATCCTAATTTTAAAAATGTTAATTTTTAAAAAATAATGATAAATGCTAATAAGTGCTGTACTTAACAGGTTATAGTTTAAAATAAAAAAACTCTTATTTTCGTATGATTTCATTAAATTTATGCATATTCAAATTTTCTTCACATATTCATTTCCCTACTTCCCTTACATTATTTCATATTTTCATTCTTATCAGCATATGTTATCATCATTTATCACTGATTGACATTTTAATATTTGATTCATTTTCCGTCAAACGAATAAGTGATTTTTGCAGTAGAACAAAAAAATAGTTTGATATGTTATCAGAAAACATTTTTTGATTTACAAAAAAGTAAAAAGTAATTAATTGCTTGTTAAAATATACGCTATCAATTTATTGATAAAAGAGTAAAGAAAAAGAAACTTTATTTCCCCGTTGAAAAAGTAATGCAATGATAAGTTCTTCTGTAATTGGTCCTTTAGCGGTCAATTTTTCAAAAGGATGATCTAAGTTTTTGCGTGTATCATATTCGAATAATGTTCCACCAATTTCCAAATGTTTATCAGTTAATTGAATCTGATAATTGCCATTTAGGTAATAGTAATCTGATGTATTTTTGATTGCTGAAAATGTCATGATATTAGGATAATTTAATTTCGATTATTTTAATAATTATACATAAAATGTTCATTTATAATTTAAATAAATTTACCAAGTGAATTAGTTGTTGAATGTAATTCTTCAACTAAAATTGATGTCGCACCAATTGGTAATCGAATAATATTATGATAACCAGGTGTTAAATTACGCTCATCGAAATATCCTTCGACAGTTTTACATGTTGAACCATCACCACCACATTTACCACATTTATCGTTTTTCTTTGCTAAAATATATCAAAATAATTGTTAATATATCATTTTATTAATTTAATAGTTATTAATTTGAGAAAAAACAATAAAATTTCCAATAAATAATCAAAAAAAAAAATTAACAAAACCCGATCCAAGTTTATTGTCACATCCAACTGGTAAACAAACTCCTTCCACACAAATATCATTAGTACGATGATCACATTTTGTACCATCTATAACCTGAAATTTACATAAATTATCAACTACCATTAATTAGCTGATAAGTCTTTTTTTTTTTTGCATGCTTATATCATTATTAGTTAATTATTCAACATAGATAAGTTTAAATCTTTCTTTTCAACCAAATTACTGGGTGAAAATTTGAAAAAAGAATAAAAATTACTTTATCAGCCCATTTATAGTAGAAATTAGCATTATCCGGTTTGCAGGTTAGTTCACATTTATTCTTCCCCGGATACGGTAACCATTTGTAGTAATTACCATCTAGTGGTGTATCATCATATTCGGAACATTGAATAGCCCGAAAATCTTTAATGCTACCGGTACATTCCTCGATATTACAGGACACATAACGTGTTGATGGTCCAGTGCATTCACCGCTGAAAGATAAAATGATATCCTGCTTTTTTTCTCATTTTTTTTAATGCAATTTTTACATAAATTTAATATTCGCAATATTAAACCTTTGTAGTACCTAATTATATCATATCTCATGAAGGTACCATGAGGTACTTAATTGTATTATATCTCAAGAAAGTCTCAAGTAGATACTTGCATGTCCTTCGTTCCATCTGTACCCCGCCACCGCATGTTCGAGAGCATTGTTTCTCGAGTGACCAGGGACCCCATGGTCCAGTTTCAACACGTCCTGTTTTATCCATCGTAATTGACGTATCATCTCCCTGGTATACTTGATAAGCTTGTCGTCTGCTCCTCAATAGTGCTGGATCTGATTCCGGTGGTGAGCCCGGATATAATCGTATTTGCTTGGCTTCCTGAATGAAAGATGAATTTAAATTCCAAAAAGAAATGCAATGAAAATTACTGACCTCAGCAATTAAACAGTTTTCAATAGATTTTTTGAACCTCTTTTGGACAACACCTACTCATCATCATTTCATAATTTTATTATCCTAAATTATAATTACTTGTAAAATAAGAAATGATTTATTATCATATTAAAACTAAAAGTAAAAAAGAGAGTGCTCATATGTTTTTAGTTAAACTTTT